AGTTGATCATCTTCACAACTTGGTCAATTAATTGGAATAAGTCAGACAAGCAATTGGCATCTTTTTCATTCAGCTAATGGCGTGCTCCAATGGATGCTAATGACTTATTCGAAATTTGTCGTCTTTTGGCTTTAAGAATAAAATAATTAGACAACTTGTCTCGATAATCTCATCTATAATGTCAGCATCGACCAATCAAACTGCCTTTACGGACTCGAGATTGAGCTATTAACCTCCTCTAATTTACGCTTAAATCCGAGGTGGTCCCCCACCATGCTTTGCTACCTAATACTTTATTTTATGAAAAATATCATTAACGTCCTCAAACTGTCCCTGACTTTTTAAATGCTCTTTCTATTTTTAATTGCATCAATATAGTACTCAAATTATGTAAATCATAATAATCAATCCATCCATTTAAGACCTAAAGATCGCGGGTTTGAACCTCATCCATCCACTCTCCATATATAAATTGTTCACAATAAAAAAATCATCCATTCATTTTATTTTCTACAAGAACAAACGGAAAAATCATAACACTTGTTTTAATGTGTTTTTTGAACTTATATATTTCTATTTATTTTTTGTGTTTTAAAATTAATATAAAAATGAAGGGATTAGTCACTATGGTCCACATAACTGTGTAAGTTAAAGAGTACATGCCTTGGTCCAAAAAAAAAGGGGCACTGAAAATTGAGGGTCAAATTGAAAATTGTATCAAAGTCTTGGGGCATCTTTGACATTTTGTCCTTTGTTTTAACTTGTTATACTTAGTGTTGCATGTGGGTGATTAAAAGAATGGTTCCAACAAAATTAATTATGTGATAATTTTAAGAAAGTCCAAAGGTTTTTGTTTATATATAGATGATGGAAAGTGGACCACTGAGTTTTAGATTATAAAACAAATTGTAGGACAGTGAAAGCTCGATCTTCTATCATGTCCATTAAACAAGTGCATATTGTCTTGTAAAAAGTTTAAAACCTTAAAATACCAACCCAATTTCATCTTTCACAATGAAATTAAAGGTAAAAATGTATTATCATAAAAGGCGGTATAGTCAGTCTGAAGTGTACTAATGCTTTACTAAATCTATCCGGCCTTCCTTTTTATATAGGCATATAAAATCTCTCTAATTCAAAAAGGGAGAGATTTTTCATATATAAGGCTTCAAAAACCCAAAGTAGTGCTACATAAACGAGGCAACATCTCAAGTAGCCTTCGCAGAGGCCCACTTCCATCTTGCAAGAGAGGCGCGAAATATGATCTTTTCTCGATTTTCACTCGTGTGAGAAAAAGTTGTGTATAATAATATTACTTGTCAGGATAGTTTGAATCAACTTTAATATTCAATTAACTCGAGTATTTGTCTTGATCAACTCTATCGTCTTTCTCGTGTTTTTTAGATCTATTTGGGCTATGGTTGAGTCTTCGAGATTATTGGATTGAAATTTTCTTTCCTTAGGTCCAATTATTTGGGCTTTTTGCCTCAGATTTGAGATGAGCTAGATGGACAAAATCCCGTGCATCAATTTCAATTATTAAACATGGAAATAAATAATCTAAATTTTAAAATAAGTTGTTGTCTAAGATGCAAGGAACTATTAAAAAATTAAAATAGTTTATTAGGAAACTATTATTTTTTTAATAACAAAGAAATCACCCAACCAAACTCATATCATTAGTACTATATTTAATTTGAAAACAATAATACACTTTTTGAACTTGCAACTTTTAGGGTCAAATACTAAACACATATGCAACATGCAATTTACAGAAAAGACAAAGAAGATCGAAAGTGAATGATTATGAAATTATCATATGGCTCATGTTTAGCATAAGGATCACTGTGATTATTTTTTTAATCTTTTTAATTAGAAGTGAGAGGCCATTATTTAACATGACATATTTAACTGCTAAAATTCATTATTAGAAGAAAATAATCTCTATTAATAAAACATAGTGTCTTGCTTAAGTTCTTGACATTATACGGTGTGCTGTGATGTTGCTGTAGATGGGTAGTTCATCTTTTCTACATTTCAACATGCTAAACGATGTGGATGGTTTTGGGCCACCTAGTTCAGTCCACAAATAGAGCAGAAAGTCTATTTAAGTGGATCTTATCCAGAGGCCCAAGCCCATTAGGAGTATTTGTTAGATTCAATTAATTAAAAAATATTTCTCGTCAGTTCAATGAGAAAATTAGACATGGTTGAGAACTAGAGCCATTCACACCAAATCAGCAATCGATTACACTCATCTTCTGTCTATAAAAAGGAGTCATTTTCCGTTAACAAGATAGGCACCCCTTATTTTTCATCCTATGGCTCTCAAAATCTGACTAGAGTGTTCAATTGATATAATTAGAAAGTTCAGGGATTCAAGCGACAAAACAAAAAAAAAAAACAATCAGAAACTTAATTGACACAAGGATCATAGTTTAAGAGTTATATCTGTAGTTTACTCCAATCATTTGTGTAACATGAGTAGCATATTTCGTCACTTTCTATTAGAAAATTTGACGGGGATAGGTAAAAGTGTTAGAGATAAATTTATTGCAACTTAAAAATATTCATATTAATAAAATGATTATATCATTGCCCAATTAAAAACTTGCAATTTATAGACAGAGAGCAGGCTTGATTAAGCCTCCTACATGAGTTGGAGGGTGAGATTATTGGGTTGGGTCTAGCCCACGTGCAGGGGCGGTCCAAGGTTTCTATTTACATTCATGTGATTTATAACTCAATAATTTTGTGATTGGTTATTTTTATTAATCTAATTAATTTTGATTGCTTGTAGTAGGTTTGTTGGCAACAACTTGAAAAAAATAAAGGCTCTATAAAATTGTTGTGGGCTTCAAATATTATGTGAAGTTTGATAGCACGTTGTTTGGTTGTTTAGAATTAGTATAACTACAAAAAAAAAAAGAGAATTGATAGAAAAAAATATTATTACGACTTCTATAGTCGAAACATATGTTTATGTAATATGTACAGATATATGTCAAAAAAACTTATTTGTATATATGCTTTACTTATGGTTGTGTGCGCATTTATATACCATTCTTATAAGCCTAATTGTTGTTTTTATATCGAAAATGACTTAAATATTTAAGTACGTGATAATTGCGTATACCCGAATTTGTGATGTTTATGTGTATGTCAAAAATTGGTCTAGGGTCTTTGAACCCTTTTACAATTACATATTTGATATTTAGTTCAAGTTTTGTTAGAGGCTAAATCTTTGTGATGCAAAGAACAAACAATATTTATTAAGTTAAAAATTTTAATATGAAAATAGTCAATGGTGCAACGTACGTGTACACCAACTTATATATATATATATATATATATATATATATATATATATATATATATATATATATATATATATATATATATATATATATATATATATATATATATATAAAACTGTATACTTAGACACAATTAAAATTTTAAAATAAGGAATTAATAACCTAACATTAAGATCTATGCACTTTTTGATAATTAAATCTAATTTTGTATATCCTTTTACAATTAACCCTTCATTTAATTAGTTACTTAATTGTGGGTTGAACTCTTAAGTTTTGCAGGGTGCAAATCCCAGGTGGTGGAGGCGACAAAAACAAGGAGTGGCGGCGGTTTGGTGACGACGAAACTGAGAAGAGAGAGGAAGAAAAATTGTTGGCGTAGTTAGAACTTTCCATTTTGATAAAATTTTATTATGTTATTCACAGTAATGAGAACTATCTAATGAATAATTTATTTTGTTAAAAGTTTTTTTTAATTAATATTTTGTAAGATTTATCAAGTGAGATATATCTCCGGATGATGAATTATTATAACCTTTAAAAATTGTTCTTAATGGGATTGTTGTAAAGTCATTATTGAGTTTTCGATGATCATCGAGTTTAAACACAACTACTACTCCCATTGCCCTCCAGTCTCCCTCCGCACCTGCTCATACAAATAATAAACATATCATATTTTAATGTTATTTTTGATATAATTAATTTAACGGGTTATATTAGAATAAATTATTATGAAATTCAAAATAACACAACCCGAACAAACAAACAAAGAAACACCACAAAATTCCTACCCAAAATAAAACCCACAATTTTGGCCAATTTGATCGGAAATTCGGAATCTAAGTCAAAGTAATTGGCATGTTTTTAAATTTGTCGCTAATGAGGTAGAACCAACGGGATTTAGCTCTTGACTTTCGAAAATGAGAGGTCAGTGAATCAATCCTTGCTTTGCTAACTATTGTTCTATTTTTTGACCGTCAAATCATGGATCTAGATCAGAAACATCTTCAAGAAAGAGACTCGTAAGTTGACTCTCCCATTTTAAAAATGGATTTATGATCAAAACGATGTTGTTTTGTTAAATAGAACGATATAGTCTTAGCATAAAACATTGCTGTTTTAACCAAAAGCGGAGAAGCTGGACCCTATGATTAATTGGTTTCATTGAGAGAGAAAGACATTCCTACTGTGGGTTTTTTTTTATGATGTGAGATCTGTACAAATACTGCATTACCTTGGACGCATCCCTATATAATATATCTTAGTCCTTGAATACTTATAATAATCTGCACTACATGCATCAATTAATTCGAAAGTCAACATTCAAATTTATGATACACCACAAAATTAACTACAGGACAGGTGTGTGTGTGTGTTTTTGTTTAATGGTAAGAGATGTTCAGACCAGTTTACACGCATCTCGATTAATTTCTTCTTCGATCCGGTGAAAGGTAGATCATCCATACCGGGACTAATGTATTCATGAAGAATAAATCTCTCATAACCTTATCCCTAAAGGGTTGAAAAGACTTAAATTCAGGACATTTGAATTTACAACTTGTCACTGTTATCACTTGTGTTACTCTTGACATTGTTAGTAGTTAAATCAAATATAAGAGTTAAGTAGAGCTCTTCTATTTGTATAAACACTAAGTGGGCAGAAAGAAGGCAGCCAACTAGGAAATCATGGCAATTGAAAGTGTTTTGCACATGAATGGCGGCAGTGGAGAATCTAGCTATGCGAATAATTCAAGTTTCCAGGTATATATCTCTCTCTTCCTCTCACACACACACACGGTATTCATGGGAACCATTATGACGTCCACTTTGGACCAAAAGTTATAACTTGTTGCGATGAATGATAAAATATTATAACCAAATAGTTGTTAATTACTTATCTTTTGTAAAGCGTAACTTAACCCTCAATAGTAACAACTTTTTTGTACGATAACTGAAAATTCTTCCAGAAATCAGTGCTACTGAAGACAAAGCCTGTAATAGAGGATTCAATCAAAGACATGTACATCAATGGTGGCTTACCGGAGTGTCTCAAGATAGCAGATTTGGGTTGCTCCTCCGACCCAAACACTCTGTTCCTCGTCTCCGAGATCATCGACATTTTTCATGGCTTGTGCAAGCAACATAGTCATAGGGCTCCTGAGTTTCAAGTGTTCCTAAATGATCTTCCAGAAAATGACTTTAACTCCATTTTCAATTCACTTTCCTTTTATTTTGACAAGCTCAAGAAGGAGAAAGGAGACCTATTTGGGCCTACCTTCATATTGGCAATGCCAGGCTCTTTTTATCAGAGGCTTTTCCCAAGAAAGAGCTTAGACTTTGTTCATTCCTCCTACAGTGTTCACTGGCTCTCCCAGGTCAGCTCTATTAATAACAACCCGAGTTAGATCTCAATGCTAAAGCTCATTTAATAAACAAGTCAAGCTCTTTATAGCATGGCTTGTTCGACTCGTTAGGCATATATATGAACCGAACTTGATCTTGAACACGATTCTAAACTCGAGTTTAAGCTGAAACACAAGTTCAAGTTTGATTTAGTCGATTTGACGAGTTGAGACTGGACAAAAATTTAAGCGAGCCTAACTTAAACAAAATAGTTGAAGTTCATCACAACCCCAAGTCCACTCTTTGCAAACAAATAAACCATGCACAACGGGGTCTAACGGGCCTGCCCAATTACCCCCAAATCTACCAAGACTAAACTCAAACCACGCTAGTTCCGATTTGCGATTGGTGTCTGTAATGCCTACATGCATGCATGGGTCAATGATATGTATATATACAGGTTCCTGAAGGGTTGGAGAATAACAAAAGGAATATATACATGTCAAAGACAAGTCCTCCCGACGTGCTTGAAGCCTATTCGAAGCAATTTCAGAGGACTTCTTCACCTTTATACACTTAAGGTCTGAGGAAATAATAGCAGGTGGGTGTATGGTCCTAACGTTTATTGGCAGGAGCCTTGAAGATCCCACCTGCGAAGATTGATGTTGCCCTTGGGACTTGCTCACAAAATCACTACTCGACCTCGAGGCTGAGGTTTTGTCCTGTTCTATCCCACTCACTACTAACACTTTGGAAAAATTACGATGACACCTCTTGTAATTATTTCAAAATGCGAAAATATACTTTTGATTTTTCAAAATATCACCGCAATTCTCGCTAGCTTATAGTCTAGTTTATATGCTTGTTTTCATGTATGAGTCTCGTCATCACGCGTTAGAATAAAAATGACAAAGTTACAAAAGACTATTTTTCTTATACCAATTTTATCCTTAAATCACCTTAGGGTGCGTTTGTTTGCAATATAATAGTGGTATAAGGGGATGAGATTGGGTGAAAAAGTACGTGGGCCCAATTAATATTTTGTTTGTCCACGTTTTAGTGTGTAGTAGTAATTTTCGGATTTCAGCACTGACCCAATAGTTAAAGTACCATTAACCTCATGTAGATGATTTCAATTAATACCCCCTTGTATGTGGTATTAATTGGAGGGATTTTGGCCACCGACATCATAAGGCTCAAATTTACCATTATAACCCTCTCACGGGCATAGAATGGATGGTATTAAGAATAAATAAGTCTATTTGTAATAAAAGATATGACATAATATATATTTTGTAGTGGGTTTCACAATAAAACATATTGCTCAAATAAAAATAGGATAAGATTTTCTTAATTTTTATATTCGGTATTACCTTTCCTCCGTATTGGAAGTATATGGAATACATTAGTCAATCCCATGAATACTAATCCCCCAAACAAATACATCCAGGCGTATTAGTATTACAGTTTTCTCAACAGAAGTAAGGGATATAAGGGTGAAACTAAAAAACCGAGACGTCCTTCATATCTTCTACCTAAGCCAATTACCTCTTAATATAACCGCCTGAATGGGTTATCTTTATTTTTTCACGTATATAATAATTCCTAATCGTAACGCTACCCCCATTTTTTTTTTTTTTTTTGTCTTTTTATCTAAGGATACAAATATGCTAACCAACATGCGTTGGTTCCAGGGGCTGGTCAAAGAGGCTGACATTGATTCATTCCATATGCCATATTACACACCCTACAAGGATGAGATGGAGTCTATTATTCAAAAGGAAGGGTCTTTTAGTATTAACAGACTAGAAGTCTTTGAAGAAACCCTAGTGGATGTCATGAAACACAATGAAAATGACAGAGAGTATATGTCTGAGAAGAACACAATAATAGCTATTTTTGCAGCAAAAGGAATGAGAGCTGACAGAACCTATCTTGGCAAGTCATTTTGGAGACTTCAGAATCGACAGTCTGTTTGGTAGGTATACAAAGAATGTGGTTGACTACATGTCCATGAAGATCACAATGCCATTCAACATAGTAATTACATTGACAAAGAAGTGATTTTCTTCAAGGGGAAAACGGCGTAAATAAGAATCGAGTGAGTGAAGATGAGGGAATGACCCAATAATAAGAGTTTATTTCCGCACGCAGGTGGTTGTAGATTCAAATAACTTCACCCCCTCCAACGACTCTGCATCTTTTTTATCTCTCCTGCATTTTTATTTGTATAAGTTTTCACATTTACAATGAGATTTTTGAAGATTAACCCGCTACTTATTATTCTATACAAAAAAATCCTGACTAATTCACCAATTCTCCTCCACCATCCGGATGGGTGGGGGAGGAGGAGGATCGAGTGAGTGCACTTTTATGATGTAAGGAAATGTATTTCAGTATGTTTTTTACTTCTTCTTAGTCTTCATTTGGTATCCTAATTCATATTGCTATGTACATGCTATGCACTTATGTATGGGGATTTTTTGCGGTATTGAACGATAACATTTTGGCATAATGAAATTTTTGATACTATACAAAACTTACGATCCAATCACATTACGTGATAACTTGAAGTATATGTTTTGAAAAAAAAAAAAAAAACCCAATGATAGTTTGATAAATAAGATAAAAACTATGATATTTTTGTAAAATAAGTTTTAAAATAAATGTAATCGGATAATTAACTCACACTTTTCCTATTAAAATTTATTTTTCTTATAAAAATAATTGGCATATATAGCTACCAACGGGCCTATAATGGAACCACCTGTCTTCCATAATTCTAATTCAATTTCAAAGACCCGCCAAATATACACAACACGTGCAACTTTCTCACAAAAAGGCATCCAAATTAAAAAAATGTGTAATCTTAGAAGACTTGGAAAATTTGGGTATTTTCGATGGCTACCTGCGATGTCAATTGTACTGTCATCCGAGCAATCTCAACTAGTTGACGATTAGCTACCTCGTTAGAAAGTTGCTGATTTTTCGGGGTTGTAGGGCTCAGTTGGGATTTAGAGCCAGTGGACTCTTCATCATTGAGAGGTTCCTGGTGCCTCAATTACTGGTGTTGTTGGCCTCAATTTTCTTAATGTTATTTGTATCATAATCAATCTTAGGTAAGAATTTTTTAATTTAATTGTAAAAATTCTTTTTTTCACAAGTAACTATTAAATTTGGTGTCAATAATTTATTGTAAGTAATGCATGCATATAAAAACATAATCTTTATAATAATATGTACAGTGCGGAAAAGAAATGGTTTGATGATTGTTTTTAATTCGTATTGAATTATAATATTTATATACCGGTACAAGTCCAAGAAAATTGTTCAAGAGGTGGCAAATATGTTATATATAAACAATTAGTAATAACCTTGTGCTTAGAGACACTCTAAAATGTCAAAAATTGAACATTAATTGTGTCACATTTTTATTATAAATAATAATGTTTTTTTTTAATTACGAAATTTGAAATTAAAGTGAATATAAAGAAAATAAGAGTGAGGTAGGGCAGAGATAATAGAGAGGTACATGTGGATTAGTGAAATTATTCAGTATTGGGGAGTGTGTTGATTGAGTTATCTAACATTGGGGGTCGTGAAAAGAAAATAATATTTTTTAGAGAAAATAATTGTTGGATGAATTTTGTTCCATTGTATCAAAATATATGAAAATTGGATCAAAAACAAAAACCAAATGATTAGAGATTACCATAAAGGAAAAAAATTGAAATTTTAAATGCGTAAAAGTGAGATCAACACCACTATTATGGTAATACTACATCATAATTTGATCCATGTTATGGTTCCATTTTTTGTACCGAAGAAAAGTCATAAAAATAATTACAACAATAATCGTAAAAAATCCACAATAGTGATAAATAACCTACAAAGTGGTAAATTTTTATATCAGTAATGCTAAATTGATCAAATTTTTGAACCAAATTTAGAGCTCAAATGATATGACAGTTGACTCGAACTTCTTTGATTGGTGTGATCTTATTTGTGCCCCAATAAAAACTTCAAATAATCAACTTCCATGTCATTTGGACTCCAAATTTGATCAATATAACATCACTCTTTTTATATTGTAAAATGAACCATAAAAATTGTAAAAATACCAGTAATAAATTTTAGAGGTATAGTACCAAATTTTTTTTTGTCCGTCTCTTGACTTAGAGACAACATTCATTGAACATTACCTTAGCATAAATAACTGCGTCAACAAATATTGTTTCTATATATCAAATGGGAACAAGATGGAGGAAGTGCAAAAATAGGGAATAAGTTTGTTTTGAATCAAATCTAGAATTTTTTTAATAATGCAAAACCTCTAGAGGGCAGGGATCACATAAGGCACAATATCCCTATAAAACAATACTGGTTGAATCAAAGCTATAGTTGATGATAGCTCTTCTCCCTCTATTTTGTGTGTGTGTGTTTGACCAGAAAGAAGGCAGGCAACTAGGAAATCATGGAAGTTGAAAGAGTTTTGCACATGAATGGAGGCCATGGAGAATCTAGCTACGCCCATAACTCAAGTTTTCAGGTCTCTCTCTCTCTCTCTCTCTCTCTCTCTCTCTAAACATTCAGATCAAAAGCAAAGGTTTCATTGATGGGAATATTCCTGGCTAAACTATCATGTCCATCTTCCAGAAATCAGAGATGCTGAAGGTAAAGCCTCTTATAGAGGCTACCATAAAAGATATGTACAATATTAATGGTGGCTTCCCCGAGTGTTTGAAGATAACAGATTTGGGTTGCTCATCCGGACCAAACACCCTCTTTGCCGTCTCCGAGATCATAGACATTGTTCATGGTTGTTGCAAGCAAAACAGTCACAATAAGACTCCTCCTGAGTTTCAAGTGTTCCTAAATGATCTTCCAGAAAATGACTTCAACACAGTTTTCAAGTCTCTGTCTTGTTTCTTTGACAAGCTCAAGAAGGAGAAAGGAGACCAATTTGGGCCCACTTTCATATTGGCAATGCCAGGCTCTTTCTATCAGAGGCTTTTCCCAAGCAAGAGCTTGCACTTTGTTCATTCCTCTTTCAGTCTTCACTGCCTCTCCTAGGTCAGTCAGATCTATTAACTACTAAAATATTGAATACATAGAAGCAAAAAACTAATTAGGGTCATGAAAGATATCCGATTGGGTTCACTGTCAATCTACTTGCAGCTACCAACAGGCAGCTTATCAAGTTAAGGTCTGCATAATACTCTTGGTTAACAATTATTCCAAGATTTCGATAAACTTCATAAATAGGACTGCAATGAATAGATTAAATAAAAGGCTAATTGTTTTTTATCTCCATGTAGTTTAGGCTAAAAGTGTTCTACCTAACGTTTAAAATTATGCATATTACCCCCTTATAGTTATGTATCAAATTGAAATAATTATTTTTATCATCAAAGTTTACGGAGAATATACTCCACAAGCCCAAAACATGTTGTGGGCTTTGTTTCTATTGTTTTCCTCCAAAAGAATATTGTCAAAGTGCCTTAAATACCTTTTATAATATATGTTATAATACCCAAATAGCTAGTATATCAATCTCATATGCAAGAAAAAAACAAATGATTTTCAAACCCAGAACAGAACCTGAAAAAAGAGACTTGACATGTTCAATTAAAATGTGTTAGTTTGTTGTCGTGTTCCATTAGTTTTATAGTCAAAAATAAATCATACGAAAATTTTGATTTTAAAATATGGATATTATGGTAATTTTTAATTCTATTAAAAATATCAATTACTTCATTTTGATATATAACTATGAGAGAGTAATGTGTATAATTTTAAACGTCAAGTAAATAAAGTACTTCTAACTAAAATCACATGAGATAAAAAATAATTAATCCTTAAATAAAAGCTCATTTAAGTTCGTTTCGTGTCGTGCCCCGATAGAATGATATGTCGGTTCCTGAAGGACCGGAGAATAACAAGGGGAATGTATACATGTCAAAGACAAGTCCTCCCAAAGTGCTTGAAGCCTACTCCAAACAATTTCATAGGGACTTCATCACATTTTTGCACTTACGCTCTAAGGAAATAATTCCCGGTGAACAAATGGTTCTAACTTTTGCGGGCACGAGCCTTCAAGATCCTACCTACTCACAATTCGAGATGGAGGCCCAGGTTTTGCCCTATTCCATTTACTACCCCTAAAAAAATTACTTGCTATGATGTTTAATTTTTGGTAACCATCAAGATTTCATTTTAATATATAGTTTTAATCAGTCGAACCTAAGTCAAGTACGAGTAATTTGACTATTTTACATATAAACGAGTCAAGCCTTTCAGATTTATTTTTTTAAACGAACTTAAAAAATTGTTCGAGTCGAAATTCGAGTTTTGTCCTAGCCATATGAGTCGAATCCGAACTAAGCTCAAATAAGTCAGATTATCGGTCCTAGTCACTTTAGATATTAAAATTTTTCTTAACAAAGTAATACTACAAAAATAAAAGGGTCATATTGTAACTCTTAGGTTTCTCTTTACATGTTTCACCTGACACACCCTGGTCTGGGATACAAGGACTCAACTTGCAATTAGGTCCAAATGGATAATACCCTTTTGATGTGGAATGTGTGACCATAATTTACACTTACTTTTTTTCCTTTTAACTATGCACACAAACTTGCTTCTTTTTTTTTTTTTTATCCTTTATTGGGTCTAAATATAGTACCTAGGGATAAGCCGGGACGGGAAGTAGTTTTCACCCTATATCCGCTTTAAAAATATTCATTCAAAAATATTCATTCACCTCTCGTCTATCTTTGTTGGTGTGAGAAATCTTAATCTTTGTTCTCGTGTACGTCCACTGTCCAATATGTATAGTACATCTCCGACCCAAATAAGACAAATTTAAACGAATATCTATTTTTTCCGATCCACTGCAGTATCGAAAAATAATTTTTCAATATTATATGTTAACTTTTCAGTATTATATGTTTACTTTTCATCTAATAAAACCATGACATGTGTAAAATCTCTAAATTACTCCTTCATTAGAGCGTTTTAGCGCATAGGTAAACCTATCAATGAATCGGATTCAAATCCAAATTTGATTAGCCGAATCGATTAATATTTTTTTCGATAATTCAAACCCAAATTCGATATCTTATATTTCACAACTTCGAATTTTAATATATTTATATTTGATTCGAATATGATCTATTCGAATTATTTATATATTTTTATATAAATATTAAAGAAACTAAGTGATTATTTAAAGAAATTTAGCTTGAAATTTAGGTACATTCTTTAAAATGTAGTTAATTTTAAGTTATTCAGATCGGATTAGATTTTCGGATCGAATTTTGAATCATTAACAAATTCGGATATGAATCAAAAAAATAAGATCCATTGAATTTTCAGATTGAATTTGAATCAGATTTTTGAATTCGAATTCAATTCGAACCAATCAAAATTCTATCCATACTCAATCCGTTGACAGACCTACATCCGACAGTCCTCTGGCCGTTTTGAAAAGGAAGAGAAGGAGCACCCCTGCGAATGTGTAAAACCTTTTTTAGTTTATTACTTTTTATTGGTTTATTATGCTTTTCAATCATGGGTTACAAACTACCCAAACTAAAGTGAAGAGTTTACGTATCAATTTCGATACAATACCTCTAGATACTGTGTCGTAATGCTTTTTTCTTTCAACTAGGGCCGTTCAAAATTCCGCTCATCTGACCCGTTTTGTATCCTTCCCATCTTACCTTACCCAATTATTGAAATTCTACAAAATTTCGGCCGGCAAATGATAAAAATTTTAGTATTTTGTAAAATCGCGAGTAGGAATGCAAAATATTCATAAAAATTCCGCATTTTTACCCGACTTACACTTATATTTTATTTTTTAAAAATAATAATATATTTTATATAAAATGATGTCGTTTTATATGATCATATTATTGGATTTATTATGTTTGTTTACACATTCTTATATTATATTTTAATAGCGTAATTATAAAAATAGTTCAAAATTTTAATAATTGAGTTGTTAAAATAACCCAAAAATTAATAGCTTAAAAATTAAAAATATGTAACATATTTTGCATTTCTACCTTATTTCTGAGCCAATTTTTTGGGCGAATGTTCGAAATATTACCCTCAATCAGATAAAATCAATCAAGAAATTGATCTTTCACAATTCATCAACTCGAAAGATGAAATACATTAATACTTACCCGTCACTCAGGTGAACCGCCCTACTTTCGACAAACTTGCCTAATCAATAGTTTTTTTTTTTTTTTTGGGGTTTTAGGGGCTTGTCAAGGAGGCTGACATTGACTCATTCAATATTCCTTTTTACACACCCTACAGGGATGAAGTGGAGGCTATTATTCAAAAGGAAGGGTCTTTTAATCTTCAAAGCCTAAAAGTTCTTGAAGAGACTGTAGAGGATGTCAGAAACCACAATGAGAACGAGTGTCTGTCTGATAAACAGAAAATAAGAGGGACTTTTTCGGCAAAACTTATAAGTTCTTGGAGACTCTATAATTGATGGTTTGTTTTTGAGGTATGCAGAGAATGTGGCCCAATATGTATCAATGGAGGTAATAAAGTCAGGCAGCATAGCTATTTCCTTGACAAAGAAGTAATTTTTGTACGGGTTCAAATCTCCTCCAGTACTAGTTTTTTTCTATTTTTTTTAATTCTCAACGGGATTGTTAATGTCGTAGCTTGGTTTCTTTTCTGTGATTTATTGAATTGGGTGGAACTCTGATTTAAGAATTTGTATGTTTTTTTTTTTTTTATTTTGGAACTAGTTCGGTTTGCACTTTTAGTTATAGTTTTACATGTTTGATGTTGAAAGTTTTTTTGTTGTCCTCGATGTGGCACATAGAGTTATGAGCCCGAATTCAATCCGAATTTTAAAAAAATAACTTGGACAATACTCAGACTGAGTAACTCAAATTGAAAATCTGGTTTGAATTGAATTAAGATTAGAATTTTTGTACCTAGAGTTAGACTTAGATTGACCAACTAACCCGTCTAACCCGCATGAGTTACACCACTTATGACCACATAGCAGTGAGAGACTCGCTTAAAAATAATAAATCCTACTTGAACTAGTCATACGCCAATGCAATTCTTTTTCAACTTTGTATACCAAGTGATAAGACATATTTACCACCACTGGGCCTATATGGGATGGGAATTACAAATTTTGGTGCAAAAAAATAAAAGACGAGCATATTAGAAGGGATCTCGAATAAATACCTACTCCTGTAGTTATTCATTTTTTCCTCGAGGCTACACAGTGTGGTACTTGATATTTTTTTTTCTTTTTTTTGGAACGGAGAAGGAAGAGAGAGATTTGAACTCTTGACCTCAAAAAGACAAAACATTTACAAGACAAGAAATACCATTGGACCAAAGACCCATTGCATACTTACCGGAAAAAAAGAAAGACATTGGCATAGCAATAATATTACTTTGGCTTCATTTATCGCCACAATTGATTGTCCGATACATTATAACCATAGGATTGGTAGTGAATCGGGTTTTAATATTTACGATTCACCGCTAATTCAACAGCAACAATGAATTTTCAGTAACTTAGATTCAAGTAATATTAATCTTATTTCATGTTTAATTACTATTTTTTGCAGATGATCTACAGGAATTCCAGTATAGAAATATGCATGCATTGGCCTATTATTATACATACGATTAAGCTTAAAGAAAGTAAACAAGCTCTGATAAGAAAAAACAAAATTACAAAACAAACGCTACTGAAAAAAAAAGGTACTTAAAAATAGTGTTATCCAATAGTGCCTAAAACTCTCATACTTACCAAAAAATAATAATAGCAGCAGAAAAACGAAAGAAAAGGAACTCACGGCATAGTCTTCTATGGAGATCTTCCCAACCACACTTCCAAGCATCACATGTGAAGTGTACAAACTGCAAGTACAGCAGTCATCTGAATAGCGAACGACAGATAATAAAGAGAAGAAGAGAGAGGAGGGGGGGGAGAACACTGAAACAAGCTTTTGTTTACACAAACTTTACGTGTCTCGTAACCCATACTGGGAAATGAGTTTCATCAAGATGAAATTGACTCCTCATTGGTATGCCCGCTTGGAGAAAGCATGATTCCTTCTGAGAAGATGAACTTGTTGGTTGCACCAAAGATGTCGGCTATTTGCAGAACGGTTGTTTGAGATGTGGTACTCATTGGCAGCACATCCTCGGGGAGGCAAGGCATACATTCAGGAAGAAATTTTGTCTTGTTGAATGTTGGAGCGTATAGCGATAACACCACCCGACAAAACATGAATCTGGGACATTACAAGAAAATTTTACCCTCTACACATCTATGAAATAAAAGCAATGTTATCTAAGAAGCATAGACCAAGCCACAGAACTTGAGCTGCGCGTATTGGGGATCTCATTTAATCCTACAGAGGAAAAGGCCCTTCAAACAATGACGATATGTCACCAAGCAAGCAAATCTCAACCGTAAACCCATATGAATAAGTCCAATGATTTTTCTTTCAAATTCTCCCCCAAAAGTATGTCTGAAGTTTCCCCCTCAGACACCAAAAAATGCAGATTGATCTAGATTTCACACATCAAACCTCAAATACGGCAATGTATGTTGTTCTTTTCCTTCCAATAACACTAAAAGATTCAGGCTTTTGTCATCGAGAAAAAAAATTTTCGTGGTTCAGCAGCATTTGCAGGTCACTCAGCATTAACTCAAAGTAGCCATGGAACTTGAAATTCTTCGAACGCCCAAAAATAATTGTGTTCAAAGATCTTCAAGCAAATCACACAAAAATACCCTCATTTTTTTTTGAATCACTTGCTGATATATTCGGAACTTGACTTTGATAGTACATTTCAATTTGTTAGTCAAGTTCAACAACTAAACTTTTTTTTTGATCAACAACAACTAAACTTTAAACACACATAAGCACACAAATACACAGATGCATGAAAAGATGGAGAGGATCTGACCCTCCTCTGGCCGCACGTCGTCGGGAATCTCATGCAGTGGACTGCGCTTAGAGACCAGAAACTAACCTCCAGAAAGAAAAGGAATTAAAATCTGGAAGGTACCTTAAGAGAAGTCGCCTGAGGAATGGATCACTCAAAACTTGAGCCCAGACAGGATCAAGATTGTCAGAAGCTGCCAACATTGATCCCCAGTGATTTAACGAAGAGGAAAGCAGATTCTCAGCCTTGCTATACATAGCCTGAAAACCTGATTTCTAGTTTAGCCCAACAACAGAGAAAAGCAATTAAAATACAAGTAGAGAGGCAGTGCGGACTACCAGACCATTTCAATTTCAGAACCGGTAAAACCAAGCAAGAGAAGGAACGCCTGCAAAGGAGCTGTGAGAAAAATGGTGAATAGGCTTCCATTTGCGTGACGAGAAGAATCTACAGAAGCAGGTATAGGTGATGAAATAGTTGGAGATAGGAGCATTGCAACCAGCTCTCCTTTTTCTGCTCCATTTATAGCCTGTGCATGATTAACGGTTAACTTAACTGAGATACTAGCAAGCAAACGATGTGTAAGGCTGGTTAGATAGGTAACTATTAAAGATATATACCAAGTGACCGAATATCAAATTTATAAAGATGATGTAAAAGCTTTCTTTCCATGATTTTAACTATCATTTAAAAGAACTAAAAAAGTACATTTGAGAGGCATGAACCTTTTATTTCACGTGAACATATAAAGTTCTCCCTTAAATTGAGCTATGTTGCATGGAGTCTTCAAAATGCATCAAGTACCCTTATCAGACAATTTATACCCGAATAAGCTGTGTGGGATATGTGTCAGACACATCCATCAGATTTCACTATCTAACAATTCCAAAATGAGCGAAGTACCCATTTTTAAAGTCTACGTAACATAGAACACCACTGTTCACCTGGAACATAGAGGGAAATACCAAAAATATATCGATATTTTTCTATATATGCCTATGTCATTTTATTTATTCGTTAGACAAATGTAATGATTAGCACATACACTGGATACTTGTACCCAAGTCCATGTAGAATAATGTCAAAGTCTAGTATACCGATTACACAGCAGAACCTTACAATAATCATGCTGTTGCCAGTTAGTCATACAATAAGTACCGAGAAGAATTGGCGAAACAAGAATAGCAACAGTTGCTTCCTTAATGGAATACAAACAGGATTCTGGCATGGAAGTGTGTTGATTTGCAAATTCTGTAAACCTATTGCATCCTTCAGAATTTTACCTTGCTCTCTCTCTCTCTCTCTCTCTCTCTCTCTCTCTCCACCCCAAAAACAAACCAAATCCAGGGGTCTCCTTCTGTGCTTCTTTGCATGGTAATCCATATAGCAAAACTCATCACCTCAATGTGAACAGCTAGACCTAATGCTATGTTGCATAGGCATGTACCAAAATATTAACCACATATTACAAGAAATGGCGTACTAAAGATCATTAATTTGCCCAAACTGCAAAAGTAACAGCATATATGATAAGTACCAAAGGAACAGGAACCTGGTAGGTGAATGAATATAAATCAAAATAGTCTCTGTACTGACATAAACTCCAAAGGACATTCTGTTTGGGCTATGGCCAGTAACTATAGGAGGGCCTTTGCTTTGTATCAGCTCCCCTGGACAATGGAGAACTCAGCTCCAACAGACTGAGGCACATGCTCATAATTTTATGTTTCACACCCTAAAACTTATTTTTAATTGCCAGATGCCCTCAATTATGAGCTTGTCTTTCATTTGTGAAAACTTTTTGACAACCTTTCTTATAGAAGCATCCTCTTTCTATCCAGTGTGTTTTCAATATCCTCAACCATGTGCTTAAACAGTGGTTCACCCAATATTATTTTCTGGACGTATAAGAGTAACCATCAATTTGTTGAGATTTTTAAAAGAGTCTAGAATCTGTTAATCCATCATCAGACCTCAATGCACTTGTGTCATCTTGCATTGGTCTCTGGTTGACTAGGTCACCATAAGCTTGGTTTTGTTGAGACAATATAGCATCGCATACAATTTGTGAACTAGAGTAGAGAAGAACAACCACTATTGCTTGATTCAGCTTGATCATATCCTCAAGGATGATGCTGTAGCTGTCATTTTGTTATGAAAAAGGAAACAAAAAAATTTAACCTCCCAATTACAGAAATCTTGTAGCCTTATGTCCACGTGTCGTTGATTACCTGCTAGGTTTATGCCAAAGTTTGGCACAAATGTGTGTGTGTTGTAGTTGTGCCAAGCAACTATTGACCATTCAATGCTGGTGAACACAGAGACAGTGTTTAATGTCTTAAAATGACATAATGGAGGTGTTGTGCCAGTGAAACTAGAGAAACTCGTTTCCTAAGATAGTATTGTTGAATTACAGACTGCAGCATTTTCTTCCAAGAGAGATAATAAAAGTAATGATGAGTTGTAGTATTGGAAAAGCTTTTAGAATAACATGTCATAATTTGGCTTTGACAAGTACATTCTGTTCCTAAAGGGCCACATCCATTGCAATGCTAAAGCTACAACTCATGCATGACACTCAAGTTTTCACTGATTCAGCAAGCCGAATTTGCAGAAGGCAGCGAGCTGAATTTAGGTATTACGTGATTGCTACCAGTTGTTGGCAAAGTCATGTTCCAGACTTCTAGGGGTGGCACCCATTTAATTTGTGCACATGTATATGTTAATAGATCTTGTATCCCAAATAGAATAATTAGGATCAAGGTTGACTTACATACTTGAGGGGCCACTTCACTCATTTTCCATTGATTTTGAGTTGAATGCCCTAACACGATATTAGAGCTAAACTTTGGGTGGTCAATAGGCCAAGTCTCTTATCCATTTGAATTTTTCGATATGTATAGTTATTTGTTTGTTTGATAACCTCACATGCAAGCTCGAGTCCCACGTGAGGGTGATCTTGAATTCCCATACTGAATAATTAAGACCACAAAGGTTTGGTTTATATACTTGAGAGTCACTCCACTCATTGTCAATTGATTTTGGGTTAGATGCTCTAATAGTATACATTGGCATGACTAGCATGATGTTCATTAGTCAAAGGCGTGAAAGCCCTTTTGTTGCTTTGTTTGAGTCTGGTGTTGTTGCGTAGAGGAGTTTTAATGGAATGATTTAATAATGCCCTTCCCTGAACATTTTCTTATTTTGAGGTGATTGAATACCTGTCTAGAAAGGAGCTTTCACTTGGGTAGTGGGAAGGCAAAAAAATCCGATGGTGAATTATTTTTAGTTTTTAGAAGGATGCTGATAAAACTAGCAGCATCATGTGTTATGAGTCAGATCAATAAGGCAAGTACTTTGCCCACAAAAAAAAAAACATTGACTAGACCAAAGAAGCATTAATAGTATCTACCAAAATAATCAAATAGCATAACCTGACATACATATGATCCCAATAGGCTCCACAAACAATTATGGAAATAATCTAAATACCCTCACTCTAGAACAATGAAACTCCTACCACATTATCCAAACATAGACATTAAAAAGGGCATTGATTTCATCCTAAACAAAATCAAAGATGCCCTACACATATTCCATGAAAAATTCCGGAATTGCCAATCTTTATATCATGCTCCGTATCATTCTTGTCACATGTTGAAGTATAAATACTTAAGTTACACCCACTCTAGCAGCTTAAACTTTTGAAGTAGATAGTTGTTTAACATGGTATCAGAGTAGGAGGTCTTGTGTTCGAAACTCACCGCCACCCTAATTATTAAAAAAAATTTCACGAGATAGGCCCAAAATCTAGTCTGTACATGGGAGGATGTGTTGAAATATAAATACTTAATATCAGAGCGAAGTCTTGTGTTCGAATCTTGCTGCTACCCTACTTATTAAAAGATTTCTATATGCTAGGCCTAAAATCTAGCATTCACATGATGGGGCTTTTTGAAGTATAAATACTTAAGTAGCACCATCTCCAACACCTTAAACTTTTGGAGTAGATGATTGTTTAACATAGTATCAGTACAGGAGGTTCTGTGTTCGAATCTTGCCGCCACCCTAATTATTAAAAAGATTTTCATGTGCTAAACCCAAATCTAGCCCGCACGTTAGTGGACGTGTTGAAATATAAATACTTAAGTACACCCTCTCTAACAACCTAGTTTTAAGAGTAAACGGTTGTTTAACATGGTATCAGAGCAGGAACTCTTGTTGTTCGAATCTCGCCACCCCCTAATTATTAAAAAAAATTTCAAGTGTAAGGCCCAAAATCTAACCTATACATGAGTGGATGTGTTGAAGTATGAATACTTAAGTTACACCCTCTCCACCAACTTAACCTTTTAGATTAGATGGTTGTTTAACACCACATTTGAAAAGCTAGACCTCGAGTTTCGAAGTTCTATAATAGGATAAAGCAAGAAGACTGAACTTGACCTTTCAAAAACTTCCTTGTTCTTGTGGTTTCTTTGCTAGTTATTCATTTTTACCCTTTCCTCCTTCTGAAGGGACAATGATTTTGAATCCCAAGAAATGTTCGCCCAGGTTAAAATATAATGTTCAAGATTATTCTTGTGGATGGTGCAGAGTAGATATGGTCATCAATGATCAAAGATCATTCATTTGTCAAATTGAAACCCAAAGGCATAATGATATGGCATTGTCGAGGGCCCAACCATTGACCATATTGTTTCACTTTCAAAGAAATATAAGAAGCTGAACCAATATACACACTATAGCTTCTTATGATTAATTTAGGGGTGCGAGGGCCTAAGAGGTCTTACATCCCCATTTCCTTTTTTTCTCATAATTGTCATTTCATTAATTAGAATACAATATTTTATCCAATCATATTCTGTCACATTTCCCATTTAACCACCCTTCCACCCCACTAATTTTAAGTACCATTCATTTAAATTTTTAAAAATAAATTTATATGTAATGCTTATCCCATATGGCAAGCGATTAGGTAGAAAATGTAGCAACATTTAATACAGCAGTAAATTTTGTGCACCGAACGGGTCAACTCTAGTATTTTGTGTTAAAATATAAATACTTAAGTTTCACCATCTCCCACAGTTTAACTTTTAGAATAGATGATTGATTAACATGATAGGTTCTGTGTTCAAATCATGCCGGTACCCTAATTATTAAAAATAAATAAAAAATTCACGTGATATGCCCAAAATCTAGTCGACGCATTAGAGAGTGTTTTAAAGTATAAATATCTAAGTTACATCCTCTCTAACGGTTTAAATTTTGGAATAGATGGTTGTTTAACACTCTGTATTATACCAATTAATTTAGGGGTGGAGAGTTTGGAAAGCCTTCCCTCCCCAAATACTAAATTCTCTTAATTTTGAGTTGTTTAATATGAATGCAATGATCTCCTCAAACAAAATCTTTTCATATGGTGGTCATGAGTCATGATAAAGCTTTTTGTCACACATTTTGTGCTACAAGCTGTTGGAACTTAATTGAACAAATATACAAAAGTTATTCGAATGTCAACTCTCCTCAAACTAGACCCACTTTTTTGTCTCTTGCCCCTTTGAAGTATTAGGCAATTTAAATATCAACAAATTCTCATAAAGTCCAAGCCACTCCTTAACCAAATTGCACTTTTTTTGGGGTGGGGATTTTTGGCGGGGAGAGGGGGCTGGTTAAGCAACCAAAACCACACAATTTTCATATCTAACCTTCTTTTTTATTATATTGATTTGTTTATAATTAAACTTCTTACAGAGGAAACATTTGTGCTCCCATTAGCTATGCCTAACAAACAAATAAATCAAAAAATTCCGAGACTTATATACAACAAGTACATCAACAAATCTTATTTTTTCAAATAAAACTACATTCAAAAAAAAAAGCTCGTTGTATAGGCACGAAATCACCATTCATATTATCATGGCCATGTCTCAAACTGCTGCATATGAAACTCATGAGTTCTTAAACAAAGAGTTGTGTTAAGATACTTGCCTTGAATGCTTTACTTCTGTCACTGTCAACAACCAGAAAAAGAGGTCTTCTTGTAAATGGAATTAAATCACAAGGATAAATGCAATTCAAACCTGAAAAGAATGTATCATCTTAGGATAAATATACTTCAATGCTGGTAGAAGCAAATCTATAATAACTGACAAGATTAGGCACATTCTTTGGTGATTCTACAAAAGAAGAGCATAAGAGTCAGAAGAATCAACAAACATGAAGTGCAGTGTTAACGAGAAATTTAGAATGGGAAAACCCATGAAAATTATGTTTTTCTTCATATGCTATTATTCATCAAAATATATATCTATAACCAAAATGAATTAGAAGTTTTATCACAGATAATCAACCAATCTGTCAAGACAGCTTTCTCTACTGAGGTAGCAATTGAACCAAAAAAAATTAGCCCTACTATTTCAGCAAGCCCAGAATTTTGCGTACAATTATTGCATAAATTTGGATACTTATCATTCACATCCACCTTTCCCCAATCTTACCCCCTCTAGAACCGTTAACCCGCAACAACAACCAGAACACAATTTCTGTTGAGCTAAATGATGTTAAGTATTCCCTACATATTTAAGTCCTCTACCTTTTCTCTGTGTCCTTGATAATAGAAGTAATGTGAAGGCACCCGCGCAGTTCACCTTTTCATCCTAGTTCCTGCAAGAAATTATGAAGAGCGGATTTTTATTCTCGTGATCGACTTCATGGATTGCTATCCACCATAAGATTGCAAGACTCAGAGTATTATTTGAACAATGCCCATTTTGGCCCTCACTGTGGATTTGGATTTCTCAATGACCTACTGGAATTTCACAACATGTTTTGCATGCCAAACTTTAGAAGTGATTTGCTCGATGTCAAGCTTGCATTCTATTAAAGATAACATGGAACTTCATGTCAAAACACCCAACAGAAGAAACTTGGAGGAGTATTTGAAGTTATGAGTGCACACATATTAACTACCATTCCCTTCCGCTTTTGGTCTCTTCAACATTTTCCTTGACTGAAAATGAATCGCCTGATCAACCTGAAGAGAAAGAGAATGATCAAAAGAATGCTGTCAACCACCAAATCAGTCGTCTACATTCCAACTAGTCTGGAAGCTTGATGGTGCCCTCACTTTTTCATTATAAAGAAATTCTACAGACAGTCATCGCTATTTCTCACCTCCCTTTCTTAGAGAACTCAATCATCTCCATTCCAACACAAGGACTTCATTGCAAAACTGGACCAGTCTCATTTGTTTACCTAGAGGCCCACTGTGCATCATCGACTGAAAACCAAAGGTCCATTATTTACTCTGCTTCTTCATCTTTGGAACCACAACCTTCAGTTCACCAAGAGTTTTCAATTGCTTTGGCATCCTTATTGTTTTGAGAGATAACTGTTGCCAAGTACGAGATCTCCTATATTTTAGCTTACAGCTCTCACATGTATCTGCTACATCAAATGACCTCATTGTATGATAAATAACCCATCCAAAAAATTTAGTGATTTTCACATTCTATCGAGCAGTAAACAGTTGGTTATATGGATAATATGACCGGTACAATCATTTTGTCCCAACATTTTCATATGTATGCCAAAACAATAACAGCAGCAATGAATACAAATGACCAGCTGCAGCATCTATATTTCAAATATTGATCAGGCATATGAGGACATAATTTGTTATAAAGAGACTAAAGAGGCAATGGTTAAGTGTAGAGAAGACGCAAATTAATCAACAAACCACTATAACTTACTCTTGAAAGAGGAAAAGAGAGACAGGAGAAAAAGACTGGAAAAGGAAAGAGACAACAGGAGAGGAAGGGTTGAAAGTTGATTTTCTAAAGGCTCAATGACAGAAGCAGCAGGAAAGAAAAACCAAGAGAAGGACAAAAGGCAAGGGCCTATGCTGCCAAAGTTTGGTAGAACATAAATAGAAACGGGGATTTGTAAGGGGAGAGAGAGAGAGAAGAGGATTGGAATCACAGCATGTCAAAGAACTATCAGGAAGCACTTGGTGAATAACCTAATTGGTAAATCATCTGTCTCAACAATGTAAGTATGATGAGTTAAATGATGCCATCAACACTAACAAAGGTTCACTGGACCCGAGAGTTGTTAGAATATTCAACCCAAACCAATTGGCAACAAGTAAATAGGCCACAGACTTATATACTAGTTTGGAAAGTGTCCTTTCACTGAAGTGGGAGACACTATCACTCCCTGCACATGCAAACCCCAGTTGCAAGTGTACATGAATACATGAACAAAAGAGGAATCACTTCCCAGATCGATAAAATTGAGCCTTGACCAAAACCCTCCCTATCATAAAGCATTTAACTCAAAATCAATAGGCAATGAGTAGAGAGAGCAAGAATGCTAATATACTAGTTTGGGAAGCGCTATTTAATTAATGTGAGACGTTGTCTAACAAGTTGCATAAGTCGATATGCACCTTATTATTGGAGAACAGCCTAGAAAAAGAAAAACTGATTAACAAACAATTACATTGAGAGATGCCTGTAAGTGATGAGAACGCTGCCTAGACGCATGACTTAGTTAGTTGCTCTTAAGCTGTGTATTGGTTTTTATTCTTTTTGGAATACCTCCATTTCCGCGAGCACCAATATGCAAGCCACCAGTATGGTAATGTAAGCAGTCCCCTTTGCTTTGCTCAGGAGAAGAGTTTGGGCTCTCAGGTGGAGAGTGGAATGAGATCTTGGACATGTTTTCGGAATTGCATATACAAGTTCCAGCACAGGACAGAGATGGCACAGCATGCACATTGCTGCCTGAAGCAAGTTGAACAATATAAACATGAGTCATATGAAGAATCTGAATGCCTCAGACTTGATGAAAAGTAAAAACCAGTCAGGAAGACAAGTGGGGTATGTATTACCTGAAGCAGATAGATATATTAGGAGAGCTCCATCAGGAGGAAGCTCCTCACAAACTGTAGCCAGAACCTGCCATTGAAAGCACGAGCACATGTAAACCTCTTGCTGTTAACAAAGGGAATTTGTGCAGAATATGTTTACCTCTAAACTTATTGCACTCATATACTTCAGCAAAAAGACTCAGAAAGTAAGGCATTTTATACACTATTGTCATGATTCTAAGTCGAACCAAAGCTTCTACCATACTAATAATGGCACAGTAAAAGATGTCAAACAGTGTAAAAAGAAGTGCAACCTACCAACTCACCCCAAAAGCCCAAACATTGAACTTTCAATATAAAGAAGTGCATAGCTTGAAAAACCAGATTGTTAGTAGATACTCACTGCCATGAAATGTGTAATTGATGGATGATATAAGACAGCTTTGCATGGGTTAGGTGGCAAAGTTGGATCAGTTATATCTTGTGAGTAATTAACTCGACTAGGCCCTGGGGCCCCATTCTGAGCAATGTTGCCATTCCCACTTGAATGAGCTCCACTAAACTGGTAAAAGGAGCCACTGGGTTCCCACTCCAGACACTGGAGCATTCTGAAAGTGTCAAGAGAAAGCTCCGAAAACTTGATCTGGTCCAAGAATGAAAAAGAAAAAAGCCACAGAGAGTGGAATGGTCAGAATTCAATGAATTAATCAAGACCACTATATCATAAGTCAAACCAACAAAAAATGTTAGCACCAAAATATCCATTTAGATTTTCTATGTGAACACCTAAACTGAACAAACTATAAATTTCATATACTAAAGGGTACAAACCTCATTAGGGTGGTAGCTGCAGAGTATCGCATCGCTTAATCTTAGTTTTCTTTTGTGTTAGCAATAGAATCTGGATGCAGATCCAACACAATACTATATCTCAAAGGCCTGATATTCATAAAAGGTGGGTCAGCTTTCAGAAATTTAGCTATTTCCTGAACCACCAGCTTCCATTCTTTAAAGTCAGTTTCCTGAATAGAAGATCATTTGAAGGTTATGCAAACTGTCTACAAGGGAAGCACATGTCAAATGATATCTTTGGGCAATCATGGCATTCAATTAATAGTGAGGAGAGATTGAAAGTCTGCCATCAAATAGAAACCAAATTCAATTATCAAACAGCAAGGGGCATCAGAAAAAAAGCAGGCTTCATGTACATATTCAATAGTAAAGTATTACTCTTTCAGGCTGCGAGGACATTTCATTGGTTTAAAGAGTTCACAATGACATTTTATTAATAATTTCAAAGTAAAAGCCTTGAATTTACAATCATTTCATTTCCACGAAAATTTGTGCTGACCATCCAAAACATAGCAATTAAATTTTCTTCATGCATCCGAGTGGACCCTCCAAAACCAGGAGGAAAATAAGACACTTCACCACATCCATGTGTAGAATTTTCCATTGTGCTCCACAAGTCACGGTTTTGCACCAGTTCCTTATCAGCAATGAGGCATTGCAAAACTCCAAAGCCAAATAACATACTGTGCTAGAAAAAATCCAAACTAGTTTAGGTTAAGAATCCCACCTCTATTAATGGCCATATATTGATGATTAGATAAGATTTAGCTTTCAATGTCAAATTGAACATGATGAAGCAATTTCACTTCCATGAGGCATCCCCCTCAAAAAGATTCCATTTTGATATTCCACAATGATGAATAATAATTTTATCTAAACCATTACAGGAAGAACAGTGAAGTATAAATACTAGGATGTACAAATGTGGCTCCAAAAAAAATCAGATTATGAGAAAAAAGCACTGCAAAGTAGATGTCACAAAAACATTTTCAAGCAAATAACCTGGAAAGTCCTCTTGCACTCATCAACCAACATTTTGAGCTGATTTACCAACTGATAGACCATTTCTCGCCGGCCCAACACTAAACAAACCGTCAAAAACCGAGCAAGAAACCTCAATTGTTTGTTGACAAGATTCAGATCCTGAAACACACCATCTTTGAAATACTCCCTAGTCAGGATGGCTTCATAGAATATATATGACTCTTGGAGATAACTTGCCTCACTTGTCCTCATATACTGCCCGAAATAAAGCTGACCAATACGAGACGCAATATCTCCAATCTCCCATCTCTTGAGCCCTGCTTCCACCAGCTTCTGTCGATTCTCTTGTTGAAACTTCCACAATTGGGTGTACACTTTAAAAACTTTGTGAAAGTACGTACCATATCTAGTGCAAATGCACAATATACATAGTTTAGAGTTATTGTAATTACTGGACCAATGAGGCAAATTACATAAACTACAAAGCAAAGTTTAACAAAAAATCTTCATTTTGTTGATTTTTCATCAATTGGTAAAGCTGATTTATTAGTCACAGAAGTACGTGTTTGACTGTCAATGAAGTGTAGGACCATCAAGAAAATAGTATAAAATTCATGGAAGATCAGTTTCTTATGAAACTTCACAAAGTACAAAGAAATAACTACGTAAAATTTCCATTTCCACTCTTCTTGATAACATAATATTAATATCTAAATATTAGAGGAGTAAGGAGAGCCGGCAGAAGACCTACGGAATCAAAATTACTTTTTGGCATTCTTTTGGGCTTCGATTACTAAGGACTTTGAAGGAATTTCACACCATTTTTTTTTCATTTTGTTGGAAAGATGGAAAGCTTTATGTGACTCATAGTCATTATGTATTGCTTTTGCCTTTTTTATCCTTTACGATGGACATCTTATGCTACTGTACAATGTATTACTTGCAAATTAATAAATCTTTTGTTTCCTATCAAAACAGACAACATGATATTAAGATCATACAGGAAGGAAGTCAGAAATTTAAAACTACAAAGATCAATCAAGAATAAACCAAAGGGCGGCATATGGTTCAGAGGGACCACATTGGAATAATCAATACTTTGAGGGACTCGTATAATCTATAAACAAAACAAAATGAAGATTAAAGGAACCCGTCCCTCGAGGGGGAGAAGGAGGGGGAGGCACAGGGATGACCCCCTTGTCCTGAGGTGGCGTCACTGTTGAGGCCATTACACATGTTGGATTTACAACAAAATGGAGGACAGTGTCATTTTAAAACTCGTGGACTAATTAGTCAATTATAACTAATATGGCCATGCAGTTGAGGACAATGATCTAATCAGAATGCTTGATTACAGATTACTAGACCAATATACAGATATATATATATATACACACACATATATGTGTTATAGACTCCTTTGTGGGTTGCTCTTATAGAAGGTGTGGCAAATAAGTAGCTGGAATTATATGGCTTAGGTTTTGTTTTGTTATTTAGTTTTTAACGTTATTGTTGCTTAGTTGGAGACTTATCTCCTAATTAGGTCTGTCAGTGATTTAGGTTATAAGGAGCCTAACTTATAGGTTTCCTATATTTGTAAGGAGACTAGTCCTATTTAAAGGACTCTAGAATTAATAAAAACCCTAAGCCGAATTTTAATCATAAATATAGAGATTGGAGCTCTCTCTAACGAGGTCCAAGGTGTCAAGCTCCCTTTGATGAGTTTGATTATAATTCACAATAGGTCGCTCAAAGAATTGTAACAAGGGTAAGAAGCAGATTCTGGAACTTGATTTGCCGGTGAATCGCCCAGTTACAAGATCCTTGGTTAGAGAAGGTATCAATATGTGTGTGCATGTGTGTGAGAGATAGAGTTAAACATGATGGGACTTTCTTTGCTTTTTCTTTTTCTTCTGTTTCCTCTATCTAACAGGCAACCAAACAGATTAGATTTTAGGAGAGTATGGAAAACCACTTTTGAGAAATTTCTCTCGATACAACTAGAAGCGAAACTGCTTTTTTAAATCCTCTTTGTGTGAGGGTTCCTTTCTTATCAAATTCAAGTTGTATAAAACAAAATCGCACAACAATGCTGTATCCATACTTCATATTGTCTCCTGTTCTATTAGATTTCATCTTTTTTTTCTCACCAGCAAAATACTTTCTGATTTTATTTATTTTCACTGTGTTCGTTTTTAGCTAATTATATATGCGGATGACTACAATAACACTGTCAACAAAATTTTCATGCATAATAACAATGGCGACGAATATATAATAATAAATCCATGATTCAGATTCTTCTTCTTTTCTTTTACTTGTATATATTTTCATCCGTTTTTCTTGACAACCAAACACCGTAGCAGTAAACTCAAATTCTCAGTACAATTAGAAAACGCAATTTTCTCTAGAAACAAACGGAAGATAGAGAGAGAAATGGATTGACCTGTTGCGTTCGTAGTAGGGCAAATCCCTAATTTTGGAGAATTTCTTGTCGGCCTTCGCGACCAGAGACCAATAGACTTCGCTCACCGGAATATTACTCTGCTGCTGCTGCTGCGACATTTATATGATCAAAATGACGTCGTTGAGGTGGTGAACGGAAAATGGCCGACGATTTAACTGTGTGTGGGAGAGACAGAGAGAGAGAAGGGAAAGGAAGATGGCGTGAGAGATACTGTTACAATGGAGTGGACCAGTTGGAATTTTACGTATGTGCTTTTTCTGTTTAGTAACATACACTACGACCCCTGTGGCTTCTGAACATGTCAATAGTTGCCCTCGATAGTGCAACTTGGGCGGATCGAACGGTAAACTTTAAGTATATAATTTTTAATTTTAATCTTAACATTGACCCTATCTTAATTCGAGGTACTCAATTCAAGTATTGTCCAATTTTAATTCGAATGGGTTCGGATTGAATTCAGATTACTTAATTCAAATTGATTTCTAGTTAAAATTTGGGTTGTGTTTGAGTTACTCAATTTTATGTTGATTTTTTGAAGTGTAGATTTAAATTTTTTTTAAATATAGATCTAAATTTTTCAAGTGATCTAAGATGAAAGGCGAAGAGCAAATAAAGAGAGAGAGTGAGAGAGGGAGGGAGGAGTGATCGATGAGAAAGAGGTCAAAAGTCTAAGACGACTTAGACGAATGACGATTGAGAGAGGAGTAACAAGTGAGAGAGGGATATGAGAGTGATGGAGGCACATGGATAAAGACTTGAAGTGGAATGAAAGTCTGAACTCTAAATAATGAAAATAAATATTAATTCTAGTTAAATATATTTATATATTTATGTATATTCGGGTTCAACCTGACAACCTGAGACTTGTCCAAATTCAATTTGAGTTGAATTTTTTTACCCAGACTCAACCAAAGTATTAAAAATTATAACTCAAGCCCTATTTTTTTCAGGTTTAATTCGAATTAAATTCAGGTTGGCCTACCCAAATTACACCCCCTAGTCCTTATAGTTTCTAATGTGAGCTTTGCTACTCTTACCTAATTTTGAGAGCAAATTTTTGTAGTATCTTTGAGTTTGAATTTTGGCATCTTTTAAAGTCAAGTCATCAAAAATGTAACCATTATAAATATCATAATCTCGGTATAAATAATCTACGTTTGACTAGACCAAGAAGAAGATCATTTGACGTGCGCATAAGTTAAGTCAGACACAGTTTACCGTTGAACAAAAAAAAAATGATATAGCATGTTATAACTAAACATAGACTAAATTTCTTTTATTTTTTGGATTTGTACTTAGGGGAGTTCAAATTTTTGATTACCCAAATATTTTGACTTAAACTTATCCTATTGATAGGCTACCACAAAAAATTGACAGACCAATGGAAAAAAATTTGGTATTCCGCAAAAATCGGGCAAGAATACAAAATATCTATAAAAATTTCGTCTTCTTACCCGCATATATATATAAATGTGTTAAATTTTTAACATTTTAAATATTATTGTGTTTATTAATTGATGTAGGTTATTTAATTGAATTATTAAAATAATATAAAAATTAATAACTAAAAAATATTGTGTTCACCCGATTATTTTGGACAGAATACGAGTAGGAATAATATACTTGATTGAATAAGGTAGGCCAAGAAAAATCTCTTCCATAAAATATCGGATAGAAAGATGGAATACCTTAATTTTTACTCGAGGGTATGGTGAATACCATTAGTTGTATTCTTCCCGTGGTCAACAGATCAACTAGTTGGATTTATTGTTATGGTATATATTTTTTAAAATTACCTATTTACCCGTAATTCAAGAAAATACTAAAAATATTTCTTAAAAAAAATCCCTCTAACACCCCCCCACTATTCTAAGCCTTTTGTAGTCGCCACGGACTCCATCACCTCTCCACCATCCAAAACCTTACAACCACCACCTCCTTTCCATTAATTCTTTCTAACTCGGAACCTAGTTATCTCCACTAACTCACAAGCCCATCATCAGCGTTCACCAACATTTTGAATCCCCACAAGTCCACAACCCTAACCTTATTAGAGATGTAATAGGATTCAAATACTTTACCATTGATAAATCAGGTGTCTAAGCTCAATTGTTCTATCTCAATAATCACATAAGCTCAACATTGTCCAATCACTATGACCTTAAATTCTAGCCCCTTCACCTCTAGTAACCTTACACACAAAAGATTTACCAAAAACAAAAACCTTACACACAAAAGACTTACCAAAAACAAAAACCTTACACACAAAGAACATTTGTGGGCCATGGTGTTCTAAATCAGCGGACAAAACCAAACAAGTATCATGCCAATTATTTAGGATGATAAGCTTAAATTGACATATTAATTACATGAACAATGAAGGATGAAGGAATAGAGTGAAACTTCCCATCAAGGCCTAGAGAGGAATCCTTGACTTTTTTTTTTTTAACGATCATAGGTTTTCGGGTCAGATTATACACATTTCAACTAATTTTCACTCCAGTTCGATCAAAAATAAGTCTTTTACGTTGGGACTAGAATATTCACGAGCGATAAATCTCTAATAATATGACCAATGAATTGTCAAGAGGAATCTCGACTTGCCCCAATAGGGATGAAGGGATTTTAGATTCATCAAATATGGCTTATTTGGTTATAATGTTGCATATACAACAACTCGTATCAAAACATGGATTATTTTACTTTTAAAAAAAAATATGAAAAATTACACCAAATGAGTGTAGCTTGAATAATTACTCCAAAAAAATATTTTATGTAATCCAAAAATAAATTATTAGAACCTTCCAAAACATTTTCTTTAAATGCATATCTTTTGTCTTTCCATGAGCGAGTTATATTCAAACTATCTCAGAAAAATGAGTGATGTGCGTGTTAGATCTTACACAATATAAACACAAGAACAGATTTCTCCCTTGGTGAACTCGAGTGAGTCAGTCGAGCGACCCTACTGCTTGGTACAGCCTGTGAGGTCCGGTGGTAATCTGAAACGATAATGGGAGACCTTCGTGGATCAACGGAACGATCCAGTAAGGCTGAGGAAGGTTCCTGGAACTAAGAAAGACAAGTTAGAAGAGTGCCGAAGTGTTTTCTGGCGTATCTCCTCCGACGATCAAGTCAGTTTTTGAGAGAGAGAGGAAAAAGAAAACACTGAGTATAATTTGTAGCAAAGATTTCACCTCATTCTCTTGCCTTTTGTGAGGAGTATTTATACCTCAAATACTCATGATTGTTGTTAGTGTAATCAGTAGGTGATCATTAGATACAGGCAACGTGTGCACTGATTCCTATGAGGAATGTCTTCTCTTTTAACTGCTCGGGATCCCGAGCAACCAAGGCTAAGTCATTGGTCTGTCGACTGTTCAATGAGCTCCTCTCGGCAAGGATGTAATAAATGTCCAGCTTTAGAGACATTTATTACCTTTCGCTTCCGAACCTTATCGCATTAAATGTTATCTCATCAAGGAAATGACGTAATTAAATGCTTACTTTCCCAAGTCGTGTGTCAGCAAAGACATTTGATCTTTCTGTCTCTGATGTGACACAATATACCACGCGTCCATTCCCCATTGGCTGTGTCCCCTGCTTTCTTGTGCCTTCTGACACCAATTATGTAAGACGAGGTCATGATAACTAACCTAGGCTAGTGACCTGTACATCAATAGCCTCTGTAAGAGCAGAGAATGCCATCCTGGACGGAGGTACATCTCTGTACCGAGGGGATTGGTACATGTAGGACCAATGTACCCCCCTATTCGACCCCGAGGGATACGTGTCGGTATGTAAACGTACTGGATGTCAATGATCCCTATGAACAGTACCTCAGGGGAACAGAGACTTGTGATCCGACGGGTACGTGTCGCATTTATAGGAAAAGAATTTAGTGACGCCGAGGACACGTGTCTTCATCTTGGAGTACTTGAAAATGTCCCATCAACTGCCCCCAGCCTTCGATCTCTTGACACCGAGGACACGCGTCGTAAGGAGACGAAGGGTTCTGCAACTACCCCAACTGCTTCATCATTACCTTCAATCGCTTTCCCCTGCTTCGGAGGTCGTGCGCATTAAATGTGCCTCTTCGTGTTTCGTGCCCAAATGATGGGGAGGAGTACTATATAAATGAGCTTCCTCTCTCCCCCTCTCACTTTGCCATTTTCAGAGAGCCATTGCCTGAAACCTCACCGGAGATCCCTTTCCTTTCGTCGTCTACTGTCCAATCTTTCACCGGAGTCTTAAGGCCAGTAGACCCATCCTTACTTCTGGCCATTCTGAAGGAAAGAGTCGCTTCAAGTTTCAAGAAAAAACTTCCTTTTACGTTCTGGTGAGTCCTTGTATCTTCCCTTTCTTCGCCCTCCGTCTCTTCACTTCTTTTTGGTTTCCCAATAACTAGAGGCGTTTCTGGTTGCTACTCAGCGACCAATCCTCAGGAAGCCTCCTTGGGGATCTTCGTGAAAAAACCCCCTCCTTATTCAATGTTTATCACTTTTTGGAGATGCCCCGTCGTCACCCTGCCCCCGAGAATCCTCAGGCCAGTTCTTTGAGACCAGAGAAGTATAAAGTAAAAGGGGGCGAGCAAATTAATAGTTTTAGGGTCAAGTACAGCATCCCCCCGTATGTAGACATAGAGGAATATAACCCGACTGTGCATTTCCGTACCCTCGGGGCCGAGGATGAGATGCCCTTTTATACCAAAGCCGTCATAAAGGGCGAAATTAGGTTCCCTCTGCCCCCTATACTCCTCCAGTTCCGCTCCTATTTCCACCTCTTCCCCGGGCAGTGTTGCCTTAATGTCTTCAGGATAATTATGGGTGTCTTAGAGCTCAACAAGCGTCTCGGGGTAAACGTTGGGCTGAACGATGTCCTCTTTTACTACTCCCTTTTAAGAGTCATGCCTCAACAAAACTTCTACCTCAAAGTCAGGGACCCATCCATGTACCTCGTAACTCACCTTCCCGACTCGAACAAGGGGTACAAGGATGACCTACTCATCTTCAAGGGATCTTGCCAGAGGGGTGCCTGTCCCGAGTACAACGGCTTGTTATGCCCTTTGGAATGG